TGACAGTGTACCAACAATTTGACATGAGTAGACTTATTTTGCAAATTTACATATATATACATATATGTATATATAGCTCTATCTTACTCGTTAACACTTATGGCGTGTTTACATAGAGTCGACGGCCGCTTTAAGCAGACTACTTCGGCTAAGAACTTACAGAGCGGTTTTCGCCCGCCTCGGTTCCTGTACACTTCTGTACAATGCAGATATATATCATGTAAAATTTTGTAGCACATTTCTCAAAGTGTTTTACTTCTGTGGCGGGGACGATTACTCGTGGTAGCCACAGCGTCCGCGCTTCGTGAATTCTTAGCTTTCGTTTTGCCGAAGGCAAAGTCGAGTTTGCGCTGGTTCGACTGCTGCTTCTTCGGCAAGCGAATTCGGCTAACAAAGGCTGCTCCGTTGACGTGCTATTTACAACGAGTCGACTATGGCTTTCAATAACTTGTATTATAAATACAAAATAAATAATAAAGTTGTAATATAAATATTATAATATTAGTTAAACACGGAGACAAATTGTTCGAAACGTTCAACAAACTGTCAGGGTAGGTAGCATTGTGATTCCCCCAGCATGTACATCGTGGCAGGACGCAACCACGGACATGTTTAAATTTGTTTGGTCGACTGTCGCTTGCCAAAGGCAACCAAGTCGCTAGATTTCGGCAGCAGTGTTTACTCTAAAAGGCGGGCAAGCGAACGTGCCTTGCCGACCTATTGTAAACACACCATTACCGTTACTTATACACTCCCTATAGCGCCCAACTGTTGGTACAGTAAAGTCGTCAATTATTAGATTTCAAACCTTTTGAGTATAAAGTGTTAAAGTTTAGTGAACATAGTTTTTTTTTTATAAAATATAAGTGCGCATTTGACCTCCATTTCACCTGATGGAAAGTGACGATGAGGTCGACGATGGAGCATGCACACCTAAATAATGCCTATTTCACTCTCGCCTTTTAAAGGCCCAAGTTATAACGTTCAAGGAACAAGTCTGCAAGCAGGGAATTCCACTCCATAGCCGGTCGCCATATAAATGTGGAAGCGTAACGTTTCGTGCGAATCTCTGGAATATCCATAACATAGGGGTAGAATTCAAGCCTATGCCTAGTCCCCCGGTGATGAAAAGGGGAAGGCGGAATTAAATCGCGTGACATGTCCAGTAAAATACCGATGAGCAGGCAACTTTACGACGGTGTTCAAGGTTCTGCAGCTTCGCCTCCATTAATTCCGAGTCATCTATAAGCCTCTTGACACGGTTGTCAATTGAATCCAAAGTGGCTAGGTGATATGTAGCAGAGCCATCCCAAAGGTGGCAGCAGTACTCCATCCACGACCGGACTTGTACTTGGTACAAGTGGCGCAACTGTCCCAGGATCAGCGTGCGCCGCTTCGTACAGGTCGTCGTGCTCCAACTGATAATATTATGTGGGGAAGAAGTGGTGTTGAAAAATGTTTTATAAGTAATAATTGTAGTAATTGTACGCAATACAATTGCTTAAAAAATTAATAAGTCCGTAGGTAGGTAAGTTACATGTTGACAGCTCGATTGATATTGCAGGAATCATGACTGTAAACGAATACTATGCAACATCAATCGAGCTGTCAATACGTACGTTACTTACCTCATAATAATAACAAAAATAATAACGCACACACTCAACATAGTCCCGCACTAGGGAAACTGTGTCGCGGGTGTCATGGAAACACATAGATAACCACAAATTACACCCAAACTCACGAGAGAAATAAATAATGTAGGTTATACGAATATTTCTCCCGGCCCGGGAATTTAACCTGGGACCTCTGCGTGGCAGTCCGGAATGGTAACCGTTCGGCCACAGAGGCAGTTAAATCTACCTACTTACACAATACAATTACTTAGAAAACAATTTAGAACCACTTCATAACTTTCGTTTTAATTTTCGATTAGATGACATCTGCATACAATTGTACTTACTGACAATTGAGACTTACTGACAACGAGAACCAATATGTACCACAAGCTTCACCCAGGTGGAGAACCTAGGTGGAACACGGGTTCGGACTAAATATGAGCGCCGCGTCGGCGCGCCGCTGCCGCCGTGTTTACCGCCGCCGCATTTACCCCCGACCGCGCCGCCGCCGCCGACAAATGCAATCAGCGCACCATTTAGTTTTGTTTGATCAGGGGGTCTACTCTCGATCGCCGTCCGACATCCGTCCGAAACAATTACTGCCAAATAAGCAATACTTGACCAAATGAAAAGACGCGTGATGAGAATGAAGGTTCATACTTGATACTTGTCTTTTAATTTTGTCGAATATTATTTATTTCACAGTAATTGTTTCGGACGGATATCGAGAGTAGATCCCCAGGCGTTCCGATCGTGCGCACGCGCTTCCGTATTGTGTATATGGCGACTAAGATAAAACTTAGTGACTTTATATTCGCAGATGTTTTGTTTAAAACATTTGTAAATTTTTTGTGTCGATATTTTCACTGCGCATACACAACACGGGAGCGTGGGCCGTACGATCGGAACGGAGATCGAAAAAATATTTGTATAACGGTTTTTGTAAAAACAAACACCGTTATATAAATTCGTTCCATGGTCGCGCTCGCGCCGCCGAAACGCCGCCGGCGCCGCTGACACTTGTTCGTCGGCGCGCCCCCTCTGGTTGGTCTATTATCTGCACTAATATCTAATTCGGACACGGAAAAGCGTTGTATTACGGGGAAGAAAAGTACCAGTAGTCCTGTCAACAGGACTAGTGGGAATAGAGGGCTATTTCATGATTGTTCTGTATTAGTATTGCTGTTGTACCACTGTTTGTGCTGCTTTCAGATTTGGAAAAACTTATGGAAATGACACACGTGACGCGAAGCGATGGCTGCGTGGAGACTTTTCGTCTTGAAAATGTGCCAGTGGCGTATGGTGTAAGCTATTATATGCACTTTGAGCGACAGATGGAGCCACTGAAGAGACAACAGACCCGAAGACAGGCGTATCATAGCCAAAAATCAATGGTAGGTATATTTTACTTTTCGTCTAGAAAATTTTAGTACAATAAAGAAACTTTCAAGTATAACAGTTTTTATTTATTGATATTATTTATTAAGTAGTAATATTAAATTTCATACAAAACGCTTATGCTACGCTATTATTGCGTACAATAATCATGTATGTATTAATATACACCCATTCTGGCTAAGTTATTTTTAAACAATAATAAAAACAAATATCTTTATCAAATATCACTTTTTTACATATCTATTTATGAGCAGTTCATTCTATTGTTTTTTCGAGTTCCACTCACTTATAAGTTTGGCAGCCAGTGCGAGATTCTCATCTTTCTGCAAAATAAAACATTAATTTGTACGTTGTTCTTGCTTAATCATAATCCGGAACCGAAAGTCAAAGAGAACTACAGTACCGGCACGCTATGATAGATATGGCACCGTTTTGACAGATTACAATAGTGAGATCAAATCTCAATTCATTCTCGAAAAAAATATATAAAAAATATATCTCAATTTTGACAATTTTACAGGTGAAGAAAAAATAATTTATATGGCATCTGGTTTATTACATAAAAATACGTAGTGTACATATGTACATGTGTAATAAAAATATTTAAAAACTACATATTTTTATTTAATAAACCAGATGCTATACTATAAATGACGTAAATATTTTTTTTTCTTCGTCCTGTTAAAGTTGTCAAAATTGAGATAGTACCGATTGCCAGTTCACAGTTGAAATGCCGAGGTGTGTCGTAAAATTATACATCCATGATTTTTATTGCACGTCACTATTGACAACAATGTGCAGCAATTAGCTCCTTCAACGTAGTTATGAATTAATACGAAACTTGATGAGCGGACGAACGTCAAAACGGCCATCATAGCGTGCCGTTACTATAAGTAAAGGTTACACTAAAACAAAATGTTTGGCCGGACACAGTGAAACTCACTTATATTGTACATGTCAATTTCCAAATATCCTGTGTTTTCACAAATATATTAATTATGAATTATAAAACATTACTGTACGTTTCGTCCTCTTACCAGCTTATCACATAGTTAGTACCTGGATTTAGCTATGTTCGGCCAGATTTTATAAAAATGGAACTGTGTAATCACACGTAATAATGTGAGTATACCTTTATGTGTCACACAATTTATAAAAAAATAATTTAATCCGAAATACGAGTATTCGTTAATTCGGTAAGTGTCCGGTCCCAATCATTTCGGGTTTTAGGGTCCAGCAGCTTGATTTTGATCGCCTCTCCCGTTCCGAAGTTGCGTCTTTTCCGAGTCGAGGCGCATAATTGCTATTCACAACTGGCCGATTGGAAACTTTGACATTTGTAATCGGAACAATAGTTGATTTAACTCACAAATTAGAAAGATATAGTAGTCATCGGGTTCATCTTCTCGCTCGGAAACCCATCTGATTTCGAGAGTACCCGATCGGTTCATTCCGATTTGAATGTGGGATATATAAAGCATGCAGAAATGACATTCATAACTTATATCAGGGTTTCTTAAACTATGGTCCATGGACCCCTAATGGTCCCACCGCCTACCTACCTAGGCAGTACCTAAGTTAGAAAAATTGGCATACAATATGTTGTGAGTAAATAAGGACTGTGGGCGTGACCTGTTTGAATTTTTGCGCCCTTTGTTGGCCATCCATTATTGGAGCGAGCGAGACGCGCGTCAATGCAACTCACGGGCCTTTCTTATTCTCGGAAAGGGTCTGTGCGCTCTTTTTAGAGGGGTCCATGATTAGAAACAGTTTAAGAAACCCTGTTTTATATCTTTTAATATCATACCTTGATGAAGCAGAATCTTGCGTAATTTTCTCCCAAACTCTTGTGCTCCTGCGAGTAGAAAGCAGTCGGCGGTATGGTTAAAACGCCCGTCTCTTTGGCAAACTTCTTTGTAAACTTGTAGTCTGCATATTTATCTGCCTCTGTTGATAAGTCGATTTTGTTTTCTGGAATGTGATGGACGATGTTAGTGAAGTAGATTCTACTTTTACCAAGACTGATTTAATACTACACGGGCCTACAGGCATTAGCATCGTGTCGATACTGTTCTCTAGCCAAATTCGATAAAGTTTAATTACAAAACGATGTTAGGCTAACTAATGATAGCAGGTGAAAAGAACATTATTTGTCAATGTTCAATATTTAGGCTAGCTATGTTCTGCTCGCGTAATAAGAATTTAAGTAGGTGAATGGGTCATGTAGAAGTAATACTTATCTAGCCAATAATATAAAGTAATAATTATTAATACAAAGATCGAATACTAAGAAAAAATTCCTTCGATCCGGCTGGATTCGAACCAACGTTTTCCAGCAAACCGTGCCAAACGCTATGCCAACTTAGCCACGGAACGAACTAGCGCAGCCATCTGTGAGAAATTTAGAATAAAAACCAAAAACAAAAATCTGCAATAAGCACATAGAGAAAATCGTAAGTTCTGCTAGTTCGTTTCGTGTTTGCTACACATTGGAAATGAGACTATTTTTAACCGACTTCAAAAAAGGATGAAGTTCTCAATTCGACTGTATGTTTTTTTGTGTATGTATGTTATGCGATAATTTGTGAACCAATTTTGATGATTCTTTTTTTTGTTGGAAATCTTCCATCTCTAAGGGTGGCAAACTAGGGGAAGAATGACTTTTGAGGTCGGTTTTTATAGTACTATGTACTGATTTGTTCGGATCTGAATAGCGTATATTTGTTTTTTTGATTTAAACAAACTTGGGACCTCTAAAGAACCCTAAAGAAGTCGTTGGTTTATTTGAAAACACATGCGATACAAATCCAACATAATAGTTTAATTTCCAATAACTACAGAAAACATGACAATAACTAACTATTAAGAAAGTCCATTTTGTCAATATTTACTTACTAAGTTTGGTCCAGTCTGCGACCACGAAGTATCCTCCTTCAGGCACAGTGGGGTTGAAACCGTTCTCGCGCAGCGCCTTGACGAGAAAGTCTCTTTTGGGCTGAAGCTCGCGGGATGTAACGGTGAATATGCTGTCGGGCGTATCTTGACGCGTTAATTCGATTTCAAATGCTTGGGCCAACGCTTCCTGTTATACATGAACAATAAAACATGACATTTATTACAAAATTGGTTAATATGGCCTGCGCCCACTGACGGAAAGGCAAGGGATTTTTAGGTGACGAATAACGCACACGAAATTTTAGGTGGCGAATAGTAATATACCTTAGATTATGACATAGTAGCAAAATAAAGATGCTTAGGAATGCAGAGTCGGCAGCCTCTGGAATGCTCGGCAGCCTTGGGGAAGCTTCGGCAGGTTTGAGGATGATTCGGCAACTATGGGGATGCTTCGGAAGCATTCAGGATGCTTCGGAAATCCGAGTGCAGCTATACGGGGCGAGGGGAGGCACGGCAAGACTGATTTGAAGAGAGACCAGGCGCGAGCACGATGTCACGACGGTATGATTCGGCATGAAGATACCTCAGAGAGTCATACCTAGGAATACAGCGGCGTAATTGCCATCAGTGTGCGCTTGCATGTAGGGATGCCCTGCCAAGTCATCCCGTCAGAGGGCGCCGGGCCTAAATTTGCAATCCAACAAAAGGTACTAGCTCTATTGCACAAGTATGGTTGGGGACTTTAGACGTTATGCAAGGGTATGGGAGCATTAAAATCCTTAACAATTCAGGAAATTGCATTTATTTTAGTACCACTAACGGAACAACTCTTTTAATATAAAAAAGTCACCTGTATGGGGGTGCAGCAGGTGTAGACGCAGTTTTGGTGCACGACCTGCAGATTGCGTATGAGTTCAGCCGGCCCGTATGCCCATCCGATCTTCCAACCTGTTACCGAGAACGTCTTGCCTGCAGACCCCACTGTGATCGTGCGCTGCCACATATCAGGCAACGTCGCTGGAAATAAACGCATCGTCAATAGGTAATTAGTGACGTGCTCTGAATACTCCATATCCTGGTTTTTTCCCCTGTCGCATAGTGCGTGTGGCATTGTAGCTCCTAAACTTCTGATTTGAGGATTTTGACGCGGCGTTTTTTATTTGACGGCTAACTATTTGATGAACATAAAATACGATTTAAGCTTTAATATAAAAAAAACATCATTTCGTATTGGTTTCGAATACGAGAAATGACGGTTCGAAATGACATTTTATTCATGATGTGATGACAGGGGTCATTTTGTCTCTAGGTGTACAAGCGATATGCTTAGCGAAAACTAATCGGATGCAGAGTGCAAACGCGCTTAGTCTAGGGATCCCAAACATCAGACATTTAATAAATTTGATGATGATAAAACTTTCATAGATTTCTCATAGATGGCGCTACGGCTAAAAAGTCGTTGAAAACCCAAATACAAAGACACGACAACAAGCAATAGAAAATTCGTGAGGTCCGCTGGTTCGTTCGGTGGCTTAGTTGGTATAGCGTCTGCCACGGTATGCTAGAAGGCGTCGCTTCGAATCCGGCCGGATCGAAGGAATTTTTTCTGAGTGTTCGATCTTTGTATTAATAATTGTAACAAACTAGTGGAGTAATTTCACAAAAAATAATTGAATATTAATTCAATATAAATTTAAAATACAGTTAATAGCGACATCTCTCGCCAGGACTAGTAGCTGCAAAGGTATCTAACTGGGTGATAAAACTTTCATAGATTTGTCATAGATGGCGCTACGACTAAAAAGTCGTTGAAAAACCAAATACAAAGGACACGACAACAAGCACATAGAAAAATTCGTGAGGTCTGCTGGTTGGTTCTGTGGCTCAGTTGGTATAGCGTCTGCCACGGTATGCTAGAAGACGTCGCTTCGAATCCGGCCGGAACGAAGGATTTTTTTCTGAGTGTTCGATCTTTGTATTAATAATTATAAGATATTTATTTATTTTACATCAACTTACTTGTTCAATTGACTTGAAACTTCGAATACTATGGGAAAAACGATGACAGCAATATATAACTCTATATGGTAACTTTGATCTGATGTTGCAACCTGGTCAATTTTCAGACCATCCCCTCCTCAACGTACAGTACTATAGTGTTTGGGATTACTAAATTGGTTTCGAAGAGTTGTTGGCTACTGTTTCGTATGTTTTGTATTTTATTTTTTAATTTAAGTTTTATTTACTTTTATATCCTTCTGTTCATGACAAATGGACGTAAGATACAATTTTGTCCTAAAATAGTTATTTAACAAGTTGGGTTCAGAATTTCATGCATTGTGACGTAAATTATTTGTTTTCAATATTATAAGGTACGTCTAGGTAGGTATTAGTGTTGTAAGCACGGAAGAAAAAAAACAATGGAAGTGCCTCGATTACTATAAGAACCGCTAACGCCAAAACTCACTTATTCATAATTTGAAACGCTATGAAATCTTGATAATGATTGGTCGTAGTTTCAAATTAAAAATAAATAAATTCTGGACTGTAACTTTAAATGTAATTTAAACTTTACCCCGTTGGCATATCGTCGTTACTTATTATTGGAAGTAATATTTTGATTATATATTTAAATTTCAAACAATGTGCTGACATCTTGCGATTAATAGCTGAACGACGACACGTTAGATATGTTTATTTCGTTCTTAAAAAAACGATTGTACTGCAGCTGTAGTATAAGGTTTACTTTCGTTACTTGTAACAAAAAAATTATAACGATAAAAAGAAAATTGAAAATTTATTAAAATTAAACATAATAAGACTTAATGATGATAAGAATAAATAAAAAAAATACCATAGATAATATTACAAGTGCGTCCATGAAGGCATTTTTCTACGATTTTCGAGATATTGCGCGAGATAATTTACACGACCATAACGTACAAAGCGATAATGGCGAACTGGGCTCAAGTTTCCGGAACTTTGCGAACTGTTGGCACACGTGACACGCAAACTAAGCACTTATTTTATTACTTATTATTGTTCTGTGGTTGTAAGAGACGTAAGGGAAAAAAATGCCTGATAATATAAATATCGCGCCATGTAGCGGACTATTAGGAAATATAATCTCTTCCAGCGACAACACTGATGCACGGACGTGACAGTTACCGTTCTTGTTCCGTGGCTCTAGAGGCGTTATTCGAAAAGTGCTTGCTGTGCTGTTGACTGTACATTAGTAGAACCATTATATGTTGGTGCCTAAAAAGTGTTTGTATGTATAACTTTGTAAAAATCATTCCTTTGTGTTTTTATCTGATTGCTACTTATAATAGTCTTATCTGGATCTCGTATCTTGTATATTATGTATATATAATAATCTCGTATCATACATATAATGTATATACACATGTATAGAGTATATCAGTAAAAAATATAAAAATAAGTATTGTGCACATACGTGGTGGATGACGGTAATCGAAAGTTTAGATTCTTACCTATCCGAATATGCTGTTTCGGCGGATACACTATCCACTCGTAAACTTCATCGGAAAGGCAGAGTACGTTGAACTTCTTACACAGATTTGCTATTTTCTCCAGGTCTTCCTTGCTAAACACCTGAAATTGATTGCCACTGATTTATGAATTTGTAGGTTCATGTTTCTTTCTTCCGAGGTTTTAGTACCAGTTAATTACGTATATGTGGACAGCAATGTGCTCGCTCTGTTGGAGCTTCAGATCAGCTTGGTCGGTTATAAAAGGAGCAACAGAATTGTATCAAAGTTGACTTATATATACAGGGTGGAAAAAAAGCAATGGGACGTGATGGGGAAGTACCTTAAATGCTTAAGAGCGCTAATTGTGCATATAGAACATTTTTTTTTCTTAATATGAATAACTGGGCTGGAAATCAAATCTATTACTATTATATTTACACTATTTTACAGTAGTATTGGATAGGATCAATAATAAGGATAACATATTTCCAATAAACATCGTTCATAACACAACAGTTAGGTAGCATTTAAAGTACTTCCCCTTCATGTTCAATATTCGGACAACAGCACATCAGACTACACATATTTGTGTTCGAAAATCGTCTCCAGTGCAACGGAACAAGATCTGTCAATGTGTAGCTTGATGTGTTGTTGACTGTACCATTGATTTTTTTCCACCTTGTATTAAAAGAATGCAAATATTGGGTATCCATTACTGCACCGATTCCTGGAAAAAATCAGTGCCCATGGTTCATCCAAGTGAATCAGTCAGGTGGTCCATGGGTGCGAAGGGATTTTTTGAATGTCTATATTTTTCAAGTGCAAATCTCCAGTCTACAATAAAAATATATTATACTGTGAGTACCTTTCCAATTGGATTGTGTGGTGTGTTCAAAATGATTATCTTGGTTTTTTTATTGAACATTGAAGCCAGTTCATCCCAATCGAGATCCCAGTCCTCTGATGTAGCTCCATCCGTTTTCTACAATAATAAAAAGTTAAATTCTAGTTGCACATGCATCTGGTTGTTCCGTTTACTTTTCCTGTCTTGTATGCTGAAGAGGATTAAACAGGTATTTGTAGATAAATGTGCAATTGATGCGTTAGTGCACTATCTATTTAAGATAACTTATTTATTTGCCGAATCACAGTACCTTACAAACAAGCTTATGCCACAGGTACAATGGCAATGATAAAGAAAAGGGGCTAGTCTAGGTTTGCGGGTATGGCCTGGAGTGTTATATAGTGTGTAGGTGTAGAGTTGTGTGTACTGTGTCGGCAAAAAGGCCTGCCTCAGCATTATCAAACATAACATAACCATAGGGTAACCTGTCGTTAGACCTGTCCGCAAATAATTTCAAACAAAAAAAATATAAAGTATCTTACAGGTTGTAAAGCAATGAATCTGGGTATGCCGCCGGCACATTTTATCATGAAATCGTAGCAATCGAAGAAAGGCTCCACAACGATTACCTCATCACCGATCTCTGTGTGACCTGCAATTTTCATAACCCATTTTAAGTATGAGTAAGCCTGGCCTAGTAAGTATGAGTGGCCTAGTAGTTTACTCTCTGTGCGCTGATAAGGTTCCGGCTTCGATACCCCGTAGCAACAAACTTGGCTAAATGGTTGGGTAGTGCCCCTGGAGTTATTTCAATAATTTAAGTACAAGGTGACGCTATATTTGTATTAATACGAAAGTGCTAAATAGTATACTAAAAGTGTGGAATACACAATCAACCAATCCCATAATTATATATTTTTTTCATTATTTGCAGCTACATGGAGTTAGCTTACCTAAAATGGCTGAGTACAAAGCTTCATAAGCACCAGAGGTTACCAAAATTTCATTCATTGGATCTATTTCTCTTCCGATGCGAGGTGAATACACTTTCGATAACGCCTGAACTAGTCGTGGGTGACCCTGCAATGTTTAATAAGTATTATTTCAGAATTGTAACTTATGACGATAACATGCTACGAATTTCATAGATAGATCCTTTTATAGTACATAGGGTGCACTATAAGTTTCCGGAACTGGCCACTTACATAAACAATATGTAAAAAGTAATTACAACATTTGAAAATGGAACTCTTTGACTGTCACCTGTTTTTACATTGTGGCGTCATTTTAGAAATTGGTTGTCTACGTCACCATGGATTTAACGCGTGAAAATTTTCGTGGTATGATTTTCTACGACTTTAAGCGTAATTTAACAGCTCAGAGGAGCTTCCCTCGGCTTCAAACTTTTGCCGATAAAAGCACCATGCAAGAGGACTATTTATAGTTGGTTTGCAGAATTCAAACGCGGTCGTGTGAATCTCGGTAACGAATTTCGTGATGGTCGCCCGTCAAATGCTGTGAACAACAAAAACATCGATGTTTTGCGCCGTATGATCAAAACAGACATGCATTTGACATACCATGAGATTCGGGCATCTTTAGACATAGGCATGAGTCAAATACAATCAATACTACACAAACACATTTGGGTGTGAAAAAGCTGTGCTCTCGGTGGATCCCACACAATTTCACTATTTCGCTCAAAAAACGGATTACGTCACTTGGAGTATTGCCATGCTTGCCAGATTCAACGAAGGGGCGTCAAATTTGGTGTGGGACATAGTAACAGGTGACGAAAACTGGACATGTGGTTACTGTTGCTTTGGAGAATCGTTGTACCGTGAATAGTGATTGGTACACGACCATTTGTTTGCCGGAAGTTATTGATAAATTCCGTAAAAATAACCGTAAACGCCGTATCATCTTGCATCACGATAATGCCAGTTTTCACACGGCCAGACAGACAAATGAATTTTTGAAGGTGAACAACGTTGACCTTATGAGCCATCCCGCGTACAGTCCCGACCTGGCACCTTCTGACTTTTATTTATTTCCAAAAATTAAGAACCAGTTACGCGGCCAATGATTTTCATCACCTGAAGAGGTTGTCGAAGAGTATGAAAAATATGTTTCAGAGATTGTCACGGAGAAGTGGCATAAATGTTTTCAAAATTGGTTCATTCGTATGAAAAAGTGCATTAACGCTAACGGAGAATATTTTGAGAAACAATAAATTAATTGCTGACCATTTATAGTATTTTTTTTTCTTATTCATTCCGGAAACTTATAGTGCGCCATACGCATTGTTCGAACTCACAAAGCCTCTTGTATATTGATGTGCACTCCAGTTAACACCATCTGAAGCTATGTTAGTCAGTGCCTTGGCGACATGATGTGGAGGTTGGTAATCAGGGAAGCCCTGACCAAGGTTTACTTTTGGTTTGTACTCTAATGCTAACTGGATGTACTCTACCCTGGAAAATAAGACACATTTGATAATAAAGAATTCTTCGAACCTATAAAAGTTGTGAAACTTTATGAAGTTTAAAAATGTGGTGTAGAATCTCGGGTGACAATTGCATTGATTGAATGATTACTACCACTACCTAATTCTTTACCTAATAATAATCTAAAATATGTTCTATTTACTATATAAGAGAGGGAAAGGGATGACAATTTATTTTTACATATTACATATGGTTATTTTTAGTAGTTGGTAAATGCTAACAACTGGTAGTACACAATGTACTAATTGTACAAAAGAACATTTTACGTGTGGAGATTTTTAAAGGGTGTAGTGAACATTTGTTTACCTACTGAATATTACAGTCACTGTTAATCTAAAGTAAATACTATAAATAAGTATAAATATTGACTATTATTGTACTCTCTTAATAATTGGACTTTGGAGTAGACTATGGATTTCACATAAGGTCATCAGTGTTTATCTGTATCTACTGGTTTTATTAAATAGAGTCATGCTAAGCGTGACCATATGTTCCGCTTTGAGCGGGACAGTCCCTCTTTTAAGCTTTGTGTACTGCTATCCCCAAAATACTTTAATAGCAGCAGTAGAGCTCCTTGTGAGCTCGTCCAGAGACATACTGCCACCTTACCTTTTTTGCCGCCAAGAGGTGATGTGAGCATTACTGCGTTCCGGTTATGAAGGGTAAGGGTGCTGGTAAAATTAAAGGCACATGGGACTTGTCAACTTATGTCTCATAGTGACGGGCGCAGTGGCATTGCCCCTCAGATTTTTGTGATTTAAAGCAATGACTGGTACTGCAAATGTTATGGCTAATCGTGTCACTTACTATCAGGTGGGCGACTTGTATGTGTTTTCCGTCACTTGAACTGAACAATGTCCCGTTTTGACATACGTGACCTTATTTTAAAAAAATAGCGTGAAAGCGAAAAATATTATAGCCAGCCTACCAGACTACACAATATTAGTTCTTTTATAATTTTTGATCATTAAACATTTTTTAGTCCTTTTTAATTTTTTAAATCTTTAATCATTAGGTCACTATCATAAACATGTGTTTTATTTTTAAAACAATAATAAATTTACGGGCGTCCCTCTCTGGGGGTAAAATATAATGGTCACATTAGTCATGCTCTTTATTGATTATAACTTTATAGCATTTATATTATAATATGATATATATTTAATCATAAGTATAAAGGTGTTTACTTTTCTTACATTGTCCAGAAACGAATTATAAAATACGAAATCATGAAATGGCTCACCTCATGGCAAAATGGCATTAGTGGAGTTACGTCAAAAAAGTTTATTTCTTCATTAGACACTTATGTCATTCTTCCATGAGGGGTGCACATTACATTATGTAATTTACTATATATATGTAATGTCCTGAAAAATTACACACAAATCATAAATGGGTATACTCGAAGACAATATGTCATTAGCTATAAGTTACAAATTTTAATTCTAAAAACAATGTCAATTCTTTTTAATTTTGTACAAGGAATATCACAAGAAAATGTATAAAAGAGAAACAAAAAGTGTGCTATGCTACTAAGACCATCTTTTATCACCTTATCAACTATGGTTTTTATATTTTTATTATTGCCTACTAACACAAATACAGTAAAGATAAGAGAGCAACCTAAATGTTTAAAATTATCTTATGCACTTAGTGTTGTATAGAGATCATGATTGAATTGTTGTCATAATTAGTTTACAATTTGACATAACAAATACTGATATTCTATCATTCAGAGTAAAGTCTTTTAGAAGAATCGTTTCCTACCAAATGAAATCAATGTAATGCTAAATTATTGATTCATTTATATCTAAATAGAGAAATTTTGAATTAAAATTTTGTACCAACAGGCGAATTTAGGAAAGGGAGGGGGGGGGGGGGGGCTTTACTCAGAGCAGAGAGGTACAGACCTTCCCTCTTCCTTCCTTCCCGAGTTATTTGAGAATGTTCGCCATTTTATATATTATTTTCAACTCTCAACTTGACAAAACCGTCCCTATACATGCGGTGGCTCAATTCTAGCTGATATTAACTCTTTGCTGCTTTGACGATCAATAAAGAATCAAAAGACTATTTCTCAAAATATTTGTACATTTACAAAAAAGGGGTATTTCTTATTATAATAACGTCCAAAAATAAATAGATAGAGATAGACAAGATTTTCCATCTTAAACATTTGTTTTTAATACCACGATGAGTGAAAAGTGTAATCTTATTATTTCATTAATTATTTCACCTTTTTCATAACAATGTTTTTTACTGTTCATAAAAAAAAATTGCTGCCCCCCCTGACCTCAAGTGTTTGTCGCTTCATAAAATACAAAATGTCTCATTAATAAGGTGCATGTTTCTGTATTACAGACCTTGATTGAATGTAGTTTCAGTATTAAAGTGATTTGATATGTGGTTTCATAATAAAAATGTAAGTAATATGCCAAAAATAAAATGAGTCATACCGATTTACTTTTCTTTCGTTAAGTTTGATTTCTACTTTCACTTAATTTCCGAACTCATACCTTAGATTTTTGCATGGGCATCACTAGAATCATCCTTATTGTCTGGTGGTTTGGCGTCCTCTGCAATATTTTTCATGACAATCAGTCCAAACGTTATGGTCAATATTTTCGTGACATTAATAGTTAAGTCCTTTGTCATGATAAGGTGAGTATTGATTTATTTATTCCTTCGTAATACATGTAAATTAAAAGTTTAATAAGCGTATTACATTTGTAATATCAGGTTATAACAAACCATTGACATTTAAAAACTCATGTTTAAACTATTGTTTCGTAACATTTTTATGCATTTAGTTATATAACAGGATAAAGCTGAATGTACACAGTTATTACTTGATTTCGACAATGCAAAAAAGAATGAGTTTGGCAGTATGCAGACATATATGTCCATGTTTTGCATATAAATGATTGTAATTCCGATGAGTTATATATGTAGTAATGTTACGAAAATTGCATTTATCTAATAAATAGGTTACACAAATTGCATTTATCTAATAAATAGGTATTAAAAAAAATCCCTTTTGATTTTTAAGTACCAATTGAAATTATATAAAATATATAAATTATATAAAATACAAATTTTGTGATTTAAGTAAGGAACCAAACTGCATTTTCTAAAATGTTAAAGAATATATTTAAATATTATTTTTTATTTTTTATTTGCTCTTTGCCATATTAATTGATTTATTGCCTACTATTATTTAATGTCATAGTGATTAAATTAATTATATTTTGCCAATGTATAATAGCTTAATGTTAAAATTTTTGTAGTGTCGTGCACCGTAGTGTAGTGTATCGTGTAGTATATGTCGTAACGTGCTTTTGGTTACGTACAATTATTTTGAGAAATAGTCAAAAATAATAATTTGGACTTACCATACGCTTTTTTCGCCAGTTCCAAACCTCCCTGGAAGTCTGAATTTGTCACCCATATTTGATTTACTATTGTCACACGGGGGACGGTTCGCAGGGGGGCTAGTCGCCAAACGTTTCACCAACTGTAGTTCACAATTCTTTTGCACAGCACAGCCGTGACTCTTTGCAGCCGCTGTCAGGACGTAACTGCACCTAAACATTGTGTACACTCGTAATTAGAAGACGACTAAAAATGACTTAACCTCTTTATCATGACAGCTAAGTCGTTCTTATAGATAAGAGTCATTGTGTTGCGTTACGTAAATTAAGAGCAATTACGGAACTCGAGAAATAAACTATTTGTATGTATTTAGATTGGAATTCAAGTGCTACACATGGATAGTGGATACACACATATCAATGTCATTGTCATGATGTCATGTCAGCGAAAGTATACCTGTATTTATTACAACGTCAGATCAGTGTGACCAAAATGTAAATTGATTGATTGATCTTGCTAGCTCGGCTGCAAACTGCTGAAATCTGCTAAACATTAAAAAGAACTCATATTTTGTATGGAAATCAATACATAACAGATCAATAAGTCAAGGGGACTGCTAATCTCCATAATATAGATAGTAACTCTGAAAAAGGTCAAAATTCTGTCGTGTAATTATGTAGATGGCGCGGATCTACTATAGCTATTCTCATCTATATGATGAGAATAGCTTACGATGTAGTCTAAATAATATTATGTAAATGGTCGTGGATATCAATTAATTCCTCCTTAATATAAAATCAATGAAGTCACCTTTTTTCTTCAAATATTGATTTGCTAAAATTCCCATATATTGAACTTTGACAAACATGCGTGTCAATAAATGCCATTACGAGTTTCAAACTACATAATTTATACATTTTAGTTTGCAACACACAATACCATGTAATGTGGGTAGATGGCGTTAATCCTAATCAAAATAAAAGAATAGCCGGGGACTGTCTGGATCCGTGCAATAAGCGCCATCTATTTGATTTGTTTACTATTACTAGAAAGTAGAGAAGCTTTGATAAATTGTAGTTTGTCCATGTAAAACAAATTAGCTACAAAAATAGTTATTTGGTACTCATTGCGACATCATAGGTATTAAATACAAGATAACGCTGCGCTGTCTTGTTGCCATTGCGATAAATTAGCCGGCGTCGTCTTGAATTTCGTCACCACAAAATCACAAGGAAGCTGTACTTTTAACATTGTTGTACCTACTAAAGATTCTTTGTTAAATTTATAACACAATTTTTTTTAACTTCTTCCGTTTATTTGTGCGTCCGTGTTCGCTAATCTTTACAATGGCTGAATCAATTTGAATGGGGTTTACAGTGACATTAAGTTATGGTTGGATTAATTTTTAGTGTTTGTTTCATTTAAATGAATTGGTAAAAAATATTAAGTACGTAACTTTTAAAAAGATATAAAAAGGTACTTATGTCAATTTTAAAATGGGTGCACAAGTCGGAACAAGTGCATGCGTTGATCAAACGATTGGTATAATATGTGAAAATAGGGTGCTAAAAAATTTGAAGTCATCAGTAGATCTGCAAAGTCAGTGACACAGTATGTATAGCCAGATTTTACAATTAAGCCGCAGTAACGGTTTTAAATGAATATAGTTTTCGGTTAGTCTAAGTTACGCTGTGACTTTCAATAAAGCGCATGGCCAGTATTTTTTGAAAGTGTAATATTTAAGCACCCAATCTGTTATTTTTACTTTCTGTAGGATTACAGAAACATCTCAATTTTTAAACTATCAATTCAAAGTCATTTTGTTTATTGCCGTATAGATCATCATGTTACATTTAGAGACAAGAATTCTACTCTTGATGTTAGATCCAACATCAAGAGTGAAAGTCCAAAGGTTTCGTGCTTTAAGAAGTGTTTTGGAAGAAGAAAAAAGAAGAAAATTCGTTTTTATATAACGCTTAAAAGAGCTCAAGCATTTCGGCCGAATCTTTAGAGGGAATATCTTTATATTATCAAAGAGTTTCTAACCTATTAAGACAAACAAAAAAAAAAATTGAAAATGTTACAAATTTGTTTATGTTCCTTGCAAGTACCTACTTATCGAGGCAGGTGAAATTCAGAAAACGTTTAAATGCCGAATCTTATTAAATTTCTGCTAGGGTTTTAATAGATCCTGCTAAAAACTGCCAATTTTTTGTTATCTGCGACGTAATTTGCTAAGTTTAGTGCCTAGATCGTAGTATCTTGCAGGGTCTAGTTAAATCTGATCACCCTGTGTCAGATTCTGCAATTGGGTGCGCAAAAATATGAATAGGCATTAACACGACGTTATACGTGTCATGGCTTCATTACCTACTCCACAAGAGTCGTTCTCAGATAACCTCCAAAAATGTGTCCCTTTCAATAACTTTTATGTTATTACATGAATGCTAAGCATTATTTATTTAATATGATTGCTTGCTTACTTAGTCTGTGTTACGCGTATAAAAGACTACTTTACTACGTCACAGTAATAAATAAAAATTTAAAAAGTGGTCAATTTCTCATTCATGGGAGTCGCCCTAATTTTAAGAAAAGAAAAAAAATTAAACACTCGTGGAAATCGCAATATTTCCCATCGAAGATAAACTCTAACAACTTTCACGTGCATGAGTCATTCGTCGTGCACCCAACCGAATGGAAGGGACAATCGGTATGGGTAATCATTCGGTTCGAGTCGAATGATTGTACTTGGATTCGACTTGGCGAATGATTTGCCCATTCGAATGATTAGGACATTTTACATGTCCATATCAAAATATCCCTGTCCCTGTCACATTTACGGTATTTAACATAATATGTCAGAGATGGCTTGCCGTATCACGAGCACAAGTGCTACAAGGAATCTATGGATTATATACGGTGTTCCATATAGGTACTTAAAAATGATGGTATGTTATCTGTTATAAATGTTTAATAGTTTTCACTTACAACTTTACTAATGATACATTTGATAGGTGTGAAATGAGTAGTGTACTAATTTCGCAGTGGCGCAATGTCTGATTGTGAACTAAAATAAATTATAACTAAATATCGCATGAATACGTACAATAAAATGCTGCTTAAACACAATGTACGGTATTGCACCGTACAAATTAGTAATGAATGAATGAATGATACGAATAAGAAATGAATTCGGATCATTCGAATACGAAAATTAGTAGGTTACTAATTTGTCATTCGAATGACAGGATTAGTAATTTATAATTCATAACGAGTCGAATATTGAAATCATTTGCATCGCATGAGTGATGCTTCATTTTCCAAAGTGATGTCACGTTTTCTTATCGCGGAACATCTCAGTTTGTAATATTCATGTAATATTACTCGCATTACTTACACAACTTTACTTTCAAAGTAAAGTTATTCCCTGAAACGTTTGCTCTGCGCAAGTTTTTCCCCGCTATATCCATGTCTGTTTATATATTGTGTCACTGTCGTCTCATTAACAGTACTCATTCTGCAAGTGACAAGTAAGCCGGTCGCTTGCCTAATGTAAAATTAATTTCAGTAACATCGTCTAACCTCGAAACAGTATTAATTCAAGTAGGTACATCGCATGTTTCAGCTACTAAATATTTTTTATTTGTGTTCAAGGATTGGATTTGTGCCGGTGAGTTGTTGTTTTTGTTTCAAAACAATAGGTGTATTAGTTGGGAATATGTACATTGTTATAGTATACAACGGAAAAGTATTTTCTAAACAAACCAACTTTTGGGGCTCTTAACAGGTCATAAATATCATCCTTCATCCTCATCCTTTCCAATTTGTGTGCCCTTTTTTCCATCCTATAAGGTGTTCATCATAAGCAGTGACACTGACATAATCTTCTATTCTATTCTATTTTTGAGTTTTCGGCTTCTCTTGATGAATTCTGCCAATGTCAACATTGTCAACCACAATTATAATAACTAACCTTAGACCTATTTTTTTGCCCCATCATAAATAGCTACGCATCAGCTGACAGTCAACCGCAGTGTTGCCATATTCAATTTTTTTTAATCCGTAGGGCGACGCTAAAATAGCCGTAGAATTTCGTATATTTACAAAAATTCGTAGCTCTACTACAGACATATCTTTTAAAGCTAGGTATATCCGACTAATTGGATTTGGATTGGTTTTAAACCTAGTTCCTAGTTGGTAAAGAAATTGAAAACTAAGTAAAGTATTAGCGAAATACGTCCAATACAAATGAAAACTTAATAAAAGTTTCATCTGACGTTTATTCGCTATCGCTATGCGCTTTGTTGATGTTAGTAGGTAACAGTCGCTTGGGTCGGTGCATCATTTTTGAAATATCAAAATACTATTAGTTAAAGATCTTATGCACACGCCAGCACATCAAGCTCCCAAGGTACACATTGACGTATCTTGTTCCGTTGCACTGGAGGCGATTTTCGAACAAAAATGTGTAGTCTGATGTGCTGTTGTCCGTACTTAAAAAATATAGTCAAATGATTTAAAACGCAACCCATTGCCCCCATCCCATAGAAAATAGTTTTTAATGCAGTTTTTGTTGAAGTCCTTAAAAGGTTCGGTCTGGTTTGGTGTCAGTTTCGTTATTTCATATTGCAGCATTCGTCTATTATTGATTGTGCTACCAGACCGAAGTCAGTCAAAACTGCACATAAAGTTTTTTTTGAAGTTGCGTTTTGATTTACGCACATTTTTTTATTAATTTTTAATTTTTATATAGGTACCTATTTGGGTGGACAAAACAAAAATGTCTAGATTTGGTATTAAATTCCTTATTTTCGTAGGCAAATCCAAAATTCTGCAGAGCTACGAATAAATTCTGTAGAGCGTAATTTGACTCAACCTTGACTACGGGACCCGTGAGGAGCCTGAAACGTTAAAGACAGGTCTATGCGCGGTTATGATCCGAAGTAATTATAGTATAATGTATGCAACCGCGAAACATTAAATCCATTGGTTATAAGTATGTAATAGTATGTACCTATATAGTTGTAATACTTATTTGGTTCGTGTGTAAACAAATAATTTATAAAAAACATTTTTGCATTTCTTGCAGCACAAATGAAATCACACATTAGTCAACGGAAGAAAAAAACGCTGGAAGATGTTTATCAAGAAATCAATAGAGATAACATACGCCTCGATAAAGAGGCTACAAAAAAGAACAATGCGATATTATACTCAGTGCTTCAAAAAATTCTCACACTAATTCGAAAAAAATGTGTAGATTTTGACAGAATGAAACCAAAACTCGAGTACTTGGGAAGTTATTATGATGGTTTGCGGGTTGGTGAGCCCACAGAATATGACATAAATGTGGTATTGAAATTGCCCGTTCAATACAAGAATATCTATCTTGACGCCACACATGTAACGAGCTATGATCAAACGATTATATTCATACCAGCGGAATATACTTTGATAAAGTCTGTACCAGTTTCTTATACTAAGTCGAAATGGTGTGATAATAAATGTCGTATTTCAGCCACAATATTCCGCTCCTGGATACAAGGTTTGGTTGACATTGTATTGTCAAGCCTTCCATCCAAGAACGGCAGAAGAATTCTTAGTGTCGATAACAAAACATACCTAATCTATACAAAAATGTCTGGGCCTGCTCAAACTATAAAAATACAAACAGGTGATGACGAAAGCAACGTTATCGATGTAGACTTGGTACCGACATTCTCATTCATGCTGCCAACGAAACCTATTGGTTCCAAGATTAAATTTGGACATGTAGAGGATACAAATCTAATGCAATACTTTGTTGTTCCGAAACCATCTGATAACGACTTTTGTTGGAGACTGGCCTTCCCCTTTCAGGAGAGATATTATATTAAGAACAAAAATAATCTAAAATCGGCTGCAAAACTTTTGAAACTATTGCGAGACGTGCAAGACTTTAAACTGCTAGCGAGTTATTACATCAAGACGCTATTTCTGTGGGAAGTTAAACAGCAACCAGAAGATTTTTGGAAGGAAAATTCACTATCATACATTGTACTCCACATGTTAAAGAGACTTCGAGACTGCCTTTCAAAAGCCGAAATTCCAAACTTTTGGTGCCCCGAATTTAATCTTCTAAAAGATAAAATCAAAACGTGTACATGCCAAAATTGGAGCAATCGATTATCTGCTATAATCAAGGATATCGAAGAAAAAGGTGAACATGATCCTAATGTAATTTTAAGGTATTTTAAGTATCCTACAGAGCAACAATCACATTAAACAAGATGATAATATTATTTTTTTGTTTCATTATTAAATGTCTCAATTGTCTGTGACTGCTGCATAACCCTCAGAATGACAGGAGGGGTAGTCGTCCGTTCTTTAAAATTGCGTTCATTTCAAGAAATAACATTTACCACAATAGCGTTAATGAATTCAATGTTAACATTGTATTTCTGGGTAATATATTTTTCACCTCACTAGCTCAGAAAGGATTTCTTTCTCATTAGAAACCTGCGCGCAAAATTAAGCGTTTTTTCTAGTTTTTTCCATCCTAAGGTTTTTTCCAGGCTAGCGTGGAAAAGGTTTTTGAAATTCGAACTTGATGACGGACTGTGGTGGAGCAAAATTTTTCTTTCGATGAAAAAAAGCAATGACACGTTCAACGACGCGATTTATCGTATATTATCTAAGTAATTTAAATCTGTTGGTACATTTTTTCTTGTCATTGTTGACATTTAAATTGACAACGATAACTAATTTTGTTTCTTTAAACTGATTTGCTATAGTTCAACTGTTTTTCTTTCATCTACCATTTTCCTCGCTATAGTGAGGTGAAAAGTTGTGTGTTTCGGTCGGCAGCAAAGTTATTTTGCGTCTCGTGACTTGAAACCCTCACTACGCTCAGGAATCTATTTTTGAACAACACGCTTCCCTCGTGATTCAATCTTAGAATCCTTCGCTTGCTCAGGTTTCAATACAAGCACTCGCGTCAAACAATAACTTTGCAGCCTTGTATAACAAATAACTATTTATCCTCGAATATTTACCTTTATAAAATGAATATGAAGAACAACAATCAATGGCGTTTCAATTTTCTGCCTAATTACGGAGAGCTGTTATTATTAAATTCAACCTACAATGAATTCAACAATGTAGTTCAAAGAAAGCTTCGAACTGAAGCCATTACGTGAGCCAACAGTACCTGAGAGCGTTGATGAAACGAAAATAACGAGAAAAAAGATCCTCCTATAATTTACACTCGAGTCTTTTTTGCTTGAGACAAATAGATTTTCTTTTAACCTTTAAGTATACGGTTTGTAATAGCAAGACGTAGTAATAAATTATCTCTTTGTGTTAAAGTTTCTGCGCTGCCTGACTTTTCATATTAATATAAACATTTGGTATGATTTGGAATGATTGATTATTTGCAATGTCAACAAAGTTATTTTCTGACGAAGTATTCATGTAGTTTATTATTTAACATGATGAGGGGGTCGTAAAATAAGTATTGAAAAAAACCCGCTAGTACCTAACCATTGTGAATAACGGCGGGAAGCCGAGGAACGCAAGCGGCAGGGGTTCTTTCATAATGACAATGTTTAGAAGAGGGCTATTTACAACAGTAGATTGGCTGAAATAAAGATGATGACGTTTATATTTAAAAAAATATCTTTCCGTTCATGCTGTAACATTCATGCTTCTTCATTCAGATTTTAAGTAGATAAAGTCCGACGATGCAATTAATTGAAGAACTCGATGTTGACCTATTTGGTAAGGCTTTTATTTTATTAAAGAGCAAATGTCCTATTGAAAAGTACAGTCAAGAGCACATCAAGATAAGTACTTGGGACTTCGGACCTCTCTTATAACAAGTGGCATAAAGTTGAATTTAAATCTTAAAGGTCACGTACTCTTGACTCGTTTGTTAATTGTTTTAGCTATAGTAATAAAGTGAGCTAAGAATACAAATTGTTTTGCATTGGTGTTTTAGCATATTGTTCTTTTAATTCTTCTTTTTTACCTTTACTTTTAGTTTGAGTATCCGATGATTATATTCTTGAACTGTTTTATTGTTTATGAATTCTTACTCAGTCTTTGCGAATTGTGGAAAACTTACTAATTATTTCATGTGGCGCTATACTAAAACTGATACTAAAACTTCAAAATGAAAATTTTTTCGAAAATAAACTATTTTTGGGTCTATATGGCGAATTTTTTATTTTTCTAACAAAACAACATTTCTAAGGGTCGTATTCCAGAACTCTACTGAATGCTCAAGTCAGGACTTGAGTATGATTTAAAGCACTAGACATACTCAAGTTCCTGTCATTAGAGTCGTATTTCCAGTGCTTGAAATCCTACTCAAATCCTGACTTGAGCATTGAGTAGAGTTCTGGACTACGACCCTAAGGGTCGTATTCTAGAACTCTACTCAATGCTCAAGTCAGGATTTGACTATGGTATAAAGCACTCGAAATCATACTCAAGTCCCTGCCATTAGGGTCGTAATCCCAGTGCTTGTGTTTCCAGTGCAATCCTGACTTGAGCATTGAGTAGAGTTCTAGAATACGACCCTTAGTCAGTCATGGTCATGGGCCCGTAAAGCTGTAAAGGGTCCGACTCGAAACGTTACTTGGAAACTCAGGTTTATGTTGCGCCGCCATCTTTAAATTGTAATTTAAGTATTCTTTTTTCTTATTAATTAGGATATCAAAATGTGTAGTGCCCCTCTGTACTTGCTTTAGACGTTAAAAAAATAAGCGTGCTTATAAAAGCGTTTTTCATTTAGAATAAACGCCTTTTAGTTTGAAGTGTACAAAATCCTTTAGAAAAACGTTTTAGCCCATAGACTTTATGTTATAAATAGCTTGCAACATTGTGTTGAAGCGAGCGTAGGCTATTAAAGGTTTTAAGTTTTAAAGTAAGTACGTTTATTTGTAAAACACCCGTTTTATTCCTAACATTATTATTCATATTGACGAATTGATTTGTTTAGGAAACATAAATGGCGCGACTTGATACTGATTTTTTATTTATTTAATTTATTTATAATTAATGAAACTGAGCAACGCTTACAACATAAAATTATAAGTGTGCTTGTGTGCTTAAATTAAAAAGCAAACATGTTTGATAGCTTTTCATTTAAACGTCCACCTTTACATATAAGTTTACCGTTAAAAATGAATGAAACTCAAATGAAATGAATTAATTTTTTGACTAAAAGTCTCATCGGTTAGTCGAGGTTTGTTACATTCATAAAGTTTTTTGTAAACTTTTTAATAAGTACTTCATTATAATAAAAACTTCTCTCTGAGTTTATTTGTGTAATCTCTAATAACTATTTGTATTTGTCTGCCATCGAGTGGACTGAATGTTGTGGATCCCGTTTCTCTGTTGTCTGAAAATAGCTTCACGACTCTAGGTAAAAACACTATTTTTATTGAACTTGTGATCGGTGCCAAGTGTGTGTGCGGCATGCGTTAAGCGGGATGTGAATGCCGAATTATGCAGATGGATTGGCTGACTGGCCAACCCGGTGTCCAAGATGATCCTTTAGTACGGTTTAAAAAATATTCAAATATAGTAATGAAAGATCAAAAAATAAAACGTTTTGAGTAAGACAACAGGTAAATAGATAAATTTTCTATCATTCAACGCTTTTACATCTGCTTTAAGCTGAATATCTTTTAAACTACCACCATTCTCTCTTACGGGGATTATCTGGTACACCTTTCCCCTATTTTATAGTTGTGTACATTTACTCAACGTAAAATCATTACCAGCGCACTGCTTAGTATAGATACGTAGACTTTCCATTGTTTGGGAAAAATGTGATGTCAGTCTTTTACCATTTGTATTAATAGTACATTATTGCAGAGGCCGGGAGTAAAGGATTGCTGGACGAGCATGAGTTACAAGGAAAACGAAACTCGAAAGAATCCGAATATCCGACCACTATATTATAGTCTCGTCTCGGTTTATCCACACAGCCAGCTCCATTTGAGTTAAGTCTTTCCCGTTTAAGTTTATTTCTTTACTCTGTTAGTTTTTTATTCTTCGGATTTCGTCTTTGGATTTCAGGTCTATAAGTGAGCATGTTACACTCCATTAACTCAACACATTAAAGTCTTTTAAATAGTGTTGCAAAGAATAATATTTTCGGTTTCCGGTCGAACACCGAATAATGAGCCAATAGCGTGGCCGTATAACCGATTATTCGGCTAAACTATTCGGCCTGATTACTGTACATACGTAAATTATCACGAAAAACATCACTGATTAACTTCAGTTAC